TAGATATATGCTATGTTTCCTCCACAGCCCCCAAGATGCTCTCAGATTTCTTCCAAAAGCAGAAATCCATCTCTTTTATGGGATGTGCTGTGCAGTACTTCTTCTTCTCTTGCTTTGGTCTAAGTGAGAGCTGTCTTCTGGCCGCCATGGCTTATGATCGCTATGCTGCCATATGCAGTCCTCTACTTTACACAGTCATCATGTCCCCTGAGCTCTGTCTGCAGATGGTGGTAGGATCTTGTATAACTGGAACGTTTGGCTCCTTTGTCCAACTGTGTGGCTTACTTCAGCTCCATTTCTGTGGGCCAAATGTCATTAAACACTTCTTCTGTGACTTGCCCCAACTGATGATGCTATCTTGCTCTGACACCTTTCTCTTACAAGTTTTAACATCTGTGCTTGCATCCATCTATGGACTGAGTGCTGTCCTTGTTGTCATAATATCTTATGGCTATATCATTGCCACCATTTTGAAGATCACTTCAGCTGAAGGCAGGTCCAAGGCTTTCAACACTTGTGCATCTCACCTGACAACAGTGTCCCTTTTCTTTGGCTCAGCCACTTTTGTATATTTATGCCCCAGCTCTGATGATTCTCTTAGCCAAAGCAAACTGGCTTCTGTTGTGTACACTGTGATGACTCCCATGTTAAATCCATTGATCTATAGTCTGAGAAACAAGGAAATCAAAGATGCTCTGAACAAATGGAAGAAGAGAATTTTCTCTTGACATTTTCTTGATATTTTATTCCAATACAAGTAATAAAAAGCATGAATATAGGGTTCTTAAAATACATAGTTTAGTGCCAATACAAGATTGCTGGAAAATATTAGCTGAGTCTGGCTAGACTTTTATCTGTTAATTAACAATAATTAATAATGTATGTTAATGGAAGTTTTAATGCAGAATATTTCTTTTCATTTTTCAAAAAAATAATATTTTATTGCATTTTTGGTGAAAGTATACACAGAATATTGGTTCCCATTTGATAATTTCCACACAAATTGTTAAAGTGTCATGAGTTACACTTCCTGCAATATGTCCATATTCTTCTAACTTGTGATCTGTTTGTTCTATTTTTAGTACTTTACTCTGATTTCCCTCTCCCATTATTGTCTCATCTTTATTTTGGGCTCCTGATATTATTGATTATAAGTTGACTTTTAGTATCCAGGATATAAGACATAAATGAGAGTATGAAAAATGGGACCAATAACTCCTCTAGTATATGTGTTTCTATGCATCAATGCTTGCTTTCCATACTCATCCTGAAGAGGATCATACTTCTTCATGTCTTTGAATTTAGTCTTGGTCTTGTGACCTTTTCTGGCAAATGAAACATAAATGGGCATGGCACATGTCACTTCCAGACAGAAGCTTTACAAAGGTCCTTTTGACCTACTCATATCCTAATGATACCCTTGGTGGATGACCCATGGTAAGGATACCATCAACTGACCCAAGATGAATATGAGTGCTCTCAAGAAATAAAGCTTTGTTTTGGATTGGTTGTCAATATAGCATAACTGAGTCTATCATAACTATTATGGAAATTTGTACAGGTAGCAGTATGCTATTCTAAAAAATGGCAAGGCTACAATCTTTAGAGGTAGACAGTTGATGTGAAAGAATCTGTTATTGCAAGCTAGAAATATAACAATTCTTTTTCTACAATAACCCGTTTGGTACAACGTCACCTGGGATAGCTTGAAAAGGATACTCTATAAGTAATGATATGAAGTAAATTTTAAATTAGATGAAAAATGGGAACCAGAATATGGCTAAAGTTGGATGCATTTAACAAGATTATACAAGAGGTGAACCACAAAATAATTAATCGGTTTAAACATAAGAATGAAACAGAATAGAAAGAGTCAATAAATATGGAGACGTTCAGAGTTAGAACATAAAACTTGTTCTCATTCCTGACCTTCTAGTCCTCCTAAACATTAGAAGGACTCTGAGCAAAACAGGTTAATTAATTTCAGCATTGCAGCAAGGACCAAATCAAGGGTGTGGCTATCCAACCCCATTGTTAATAGATCTAAATATTTGAAGGTCTTGTTTAATAAATATTTTCAATAGGGCAAAATGATTCATGGAAAGAAAGTTAGGGAGGTAGAAAATGACTCCACCAAGAGTGATGATATCACCATCCACTTGATATCCATGCATGTTTAACATGGTGGTGGTGGTAGTGTGCGGTGGAGTTGGTTCAGACTCATAGCGACCCTGTATAGAGTTTCTGAGGCTGTAAATCTATGGGGGCAGAAAGCCTCACTGCCTCCCGTGGAACAGCTGGTAGTTTTGAACTGCTGACCTTAAGGTTAGCAGCCCTATTTGTAACCACTGCACTAACATGGTTGTTGTTGTTGTTAAGTGCCGTTGAGTCGGTTCCGACTCATAGCGACCCTGTACAGGGTTTCCGAGGCTGTAAATCTTTACGGGAGCAGAAAGCCTCATCTTTCTCCTGTGGAACAGCTGGTAGTTTCGAACTGCTGACCTTGCAGTTCACAGTCCAATTCGTAACCACTACACTACCAGAGCTCCTTACTAACATGGTAGGATAAGAAAAATAACACTGTGACGAATTTTGATCAGTGTTATAGAACAACTGAAGGATAATTCTTTCTCCCTTACTTTTCCTGGAATACACTTTATGCAGATTCAGGGTGGACAATTCTGTGATATCAAGCAACTAGTTGTACATCGCAATGAGCAGCTTGTTTATACAAAATTAGTTTTCCTTCCTTCCCTGTCTTACTCCCCTTTTAGCTCACTCTTGTTCCCTGAGATAATACTCCACATTTATAGAACTTTGCCTTATGATCTGCTTTCTCGAAAAATCAGATTAAAATAGACTAAGAATCATGGTATCGCTTTGATAGCGTAGCGGTTATGAATTGGGCTGCTAACTTCAAGGTCGGCAGTTTGAAACGACCAGCTGTTCCTTGGGAGAAAGATGAGGTTTTCTGCTCCCGTAAAGATTTACAGCCTCAGAAACCCTGTACAGGGTCGTTATGAGTCGGAACCGACTCCACAGTACTTAACAACCACAACAAGAACTCTTGGCATCTAGGTGTATTAAAATTACTGTGGTGACGAGATGAGGTTCCAATGGCTGTGGTTTGAATTGTTGTATCGACAATGATAACTGAAAAGATTCATTGAGTGGACTGACTTTTATTAATGATAATGGAAACATCAATAAAATGAAAACAGCAGGCTCAGGGCAATCAATCACCCACTCAAACTACATTGTAAAAGCTGGCAGACCACGATAGCAGTTTCTAAGGAAACATTCATCTACTGGAACTGCAAGGAAGACTGTGCTGATAATCACATGTAGACTTTAATACTAAGGGTAATAGAGTTTCAAAGGGATCCTGGTGTGGCTCTTCAGAATAATGAGCTGGACTTCAAGGTCAGTTTGAACCACAAGGTCAGCAGTTCAGACCCACCAGCCACTCCTTGGAAACCCTATACAGGGTTGCTATGGGTCAGAACTGACTTGACGACACTTAACAACAGCAACAAGAGCTGCAAATGAAACTGAATATAGTTTTGGCATGTCTTCTATATCAGTATCGGGGTCCTTTAATGAAAGATTGGCACTCCAAAACCAGGTTTTGGAAAGTTGATGATCATGAAATTCTAGATTTTTCTGAAATCTTCAGTAAAAAGATGCTCCTCCCCTTTGAAAAAGAGTTGCTATTTGGTGTCTGCTGTTGTTAAGTGGCATTGAGCAATTTCCAATTGACAGTGACCCTGTATAGGGTTTCCAGGAGTAGCTGGTGAATATGAACTGCCAACCTTGTGATTCAAACTGACCTTGAGGTCAAGTACATATCCTGTGTTTCCACACCCATGCAATAATTTAGCTGCAACAAATGACCTACAGGGTCGTTAAGATAAGCCTTGTCATCTGCACTGTCTCAAGCTTAACAAACAATTGGAACTCCAGCACAGCCCAAGTGGGCCTGCAGGAAGTGAGGGTCTGAGGCCAGTGGGAAATACAGTTGATCTCTGGGTGAAAACACCTTATTTGTTAAATGCTTTGGATTTCAAAGATAATACATATTCATGAGGAATCAATCTTGAAAATGCTACATCAGGACAAATCAGAAAACCAAACTCAATGCCATTAAGCTGATTCCAACTCATAGCAATTCTCTAGAACAGAGCAGAGCTTTCCCCTGAGGGTTGTCAAGGCTACAGAAGTAGCTCTCCTGGACTTGTTTTCATTTTTTTCAGCTTCAGTTTGAATTTGCATATGAGCAATTGATGGTCTGTTCCACAATTTGCCCAAGGCTTGTTTTGACTGATAGTATGGAGCTTTTCCATCGTTTCTTTCTACAGATGTTGTCAATTCTATTTCTGTGTATTCCATCTGGTGAGGTCTATGTGTATAATCATATCTTATGCTGTCTAAAGAAGGTATTTGAAATGAATAAATCATTGATTCTGCAGAAGTCTATCATGCGTTCTTCAGCATCTTTTCTATCACCAAGGCCATATTTTCCAACTACCGATCCTTCCTCTTTGCTCCCAACCTTTTCATTCTAATCACCAGTAATGAGCAATACATCTTGATTGCATGTTTGATCGATTTCAGATTGAAGAAGTTGGTAGATATCTTCTGTTTCATCCTCACTGGCTTTAGTGGTTGGTGCATAAATTTAAATAATAGTGGTACTAACTGGGTTTCCCTGTAGGCGCATGGATATTATCCTATCACAGACAGTGTTGTACCTCATGACTGATATGGATATATTCTTTTTGATAATGAATGCAACACCATTCCTCTTCAATTTGTCATTTCTGGCATGTGGTTGTCAGATTTTAAGTGGCCAATACCAGTCCATTTCAGCTCACTAATGCCTAAGATATCGATGTTTATATGTTCCATTTGACTTTTGACAGTTTCCAATTTTCCTAGATTCATACTTCGTACATTCGATGTTCCGATTATTAATGGATATGAACAGCTGTTTCCATTCATTTTGAGTTGTGCCCCATTAGCAAATGAAAGTCCCAAGGGCTTTACTCCCATGGGTTTTACTCCATTCATGACATCACGATCAACTCTACTTTGAGGAGGCAGCTCTTCTCCAGTCTTGTTTTGGGTGCCTTGCAACCTGAGGGACTCTTTTTTTCTGTCATTATATCTGACAATGTTTCTCTGCTATTCATAAGGTTTTCAGTGGCTAAATATTCAGAAGTAGTTCATTTCTCCTTCTTCCCAGTCTGTCTTCGTCTGAAAACTCATCTGAAACCTGTCCACTATGGGTGACCCTGCTGTAATTTAAAATACCTGTGGCATCGCTTCCAGAATCACAACAACTCACAAGTTACCACAGTAAGACAAAGTGACAGACGAGTGATGGAATGCTATCTATAGTCTGTTATTAGTCACGTAGTCAAATGTCTTTGCATAGATTTAAAAAAAAAAAAAAAAGCACAGGTAAATATATTTCTGGTATCCTCTGCTTCTATTCAAAATCTGTCTCATGCCAGCAGTGACATTCCTCGTTCCATGTCCTCTTCCAACTTCAGCTTGAATTTCTGGAAGCTCCCTGTTGATGAACTGCTTCAATTATTCTTATTATTGTTTTTACTGTTATAATTTTTAATGTATAAAGTCAAGCTCTGTTAGTGATACTATATTCATAACTGGGTCAGTTTCTTAGGTCAGAGTGGTAAATACAATATTCCACATA